ACTAAACTGAGTACAAAGCTTAGGTAAACTTTAGTAAATTGTGGAATACCATGAACTTTTTTTTTTTTCTGAGAAAGATTAAAGAGGAAAAGGAGGACTGTCTCCATTCATAGATAACTGAGACCAAGCACAGAGTTCTTGAGCTTGTTAATACAGTTGTCATATGGTTAGTAGCAAATGAAATCTCAGGTATGAGGCAAATACATGCTTCTGTTATATGGACTTTTAAACAGTGTATCCTTAGAAGTACAAGTTTATTCAAAACATTTAATTCTATATGTCATATGGATCTATATGAAATGTATTGTCATATTTAGAATAGATTTACTCTAGTCCTATAGTATAGTTCTCTAGTACTTAAAAATGCTGCTATCTGAACTGAAGAGGAAAGGAAACCAAGAAAAAGCCTCAGATAATGCCACCGACTAAAACTGTAATAATGTGGATTTGCTTAGTCCCTTTGAAAAAAATTGTGATTCACTTTATGGATTTTTCCTTAAGTGCTATTGTTGGAAAATTAGATTCATCCTTTCTGTCACAGGTGAGTCAACTTTTTACCCCCAAATTATTTGTTTATCATTAACTCCCATACTTGCAAAACTGTTGAAATATTGCACTTAAGTTAGCAAGACATTTTCAGCTTGAAGATTAAAATAGTTACTATTAAAATAGTTACTATTTAATAAATATTTGATAACAACAAACCTAATAAATGCCTCCTATTTGCTTATTGCTTCAGAACTGCATTTCCCAGACTTCAGCTCAAGTCACATGGCACCTGTACTATTAGTTAAAGTTTTTCTTTAAATTCATTTACTCATTTATATATTCATTCAACAAATATTTTGGGCACGTATTATGTAGGCACTATTCAAGCCACTTTAAAAATAACTTCTAGTCTTATTCTAAGGTATCTGTGAAATCACAGGTATAATGTTTTCATATTTTTCTAATATAAATTTATATGGGTATATAACTATTAAAAATGATTAAAGGTCTGTCCATGTCCCACCTAAAACAATTTCACATGCCACCGGTGGCACTTTGGGAAAGACTGCTTTGGTGTTTATAAAGCACCTTCCTATTTATAATCTTTTTAGATCCTCTCCATAAAGATGTGCACAAGTACTTCCATTTGGAGCTCAGGGAAGTGGCATTCCTAAGGGCACAAGTCACAAGCAGTTAAACCAGGCCCCAACCCTGGTCTCCTAACCCTAAGCTTAGTACTCTGCATGATACCATTCCCCCAACAACAGGAGCTGATGACGCTGTAGAAATGGGATGGGAAGTGAAGAATGAAAAGGGGCGATTGAGGTCAGCTGTTTTATCTCTGTTATGAAATCTGTGACGTGGCTCTGCTCTATCCTCTGACCTTTGTGTGACAGCTTTGCCTCAGCACTAAGTACCAGCAAAGTAATCACCAAGAGATTTAATCCTGTTATCAGGGATTTAAACCTGGGGGGAGTTTTGACATCTCCTCTAGTTAACTGGCTCTATTCAAAAGTGATCTAGGATCTTTGGTCCAGGTTCTTCTAATACATACTATACCTCGCTTTCAGAGGGTCACTTTGGCTCTCTGAAATGTTTGTGTCTCCTTTTGTCATAGACTTACTTCTGAGATACACTACATGCTACTGTGCTGACCCCAGATCAAACTTAATTAAATTACCAAATGTTTAATACGTGCCTTTTGAACAGAATAAGCAACCAGAGCTTCAGACTTGTTCAGAAAACTCAAATTTCCACCATATAATAATGTCTGGCTCTATGGGTATGTTTCTAACCCTACGGACAGACTACAGGACTATTTATGTCAAAGAATTATTATATCTAAAGAATCTGAATGAATGAAAGAAGGGATTTAGTATTCAACATATGTGTATATTGATATGTGAGGTAATATATGTACTATAAATACCTATAAGTTCTGGATATCTTTTTCTAATTCTAGAATGACATATGTGCAGAGTTATACCATGATAGCCATTACTGTTAGCATCATCACTTAGAATGAGAATATGTTGGCAGATTATTGGTAAAGATACATTATAAAGTTCTCCCCCAATTTCTCACCAAGATAGGAATCAACTTATGGAGCTTCTGCCTTTTGGGTATACAGGAATATAAGATTATGAAATTACAGATTAAAATAGTGTCTTAAATTACTTGCTCCTTCAGTGTAAGTTTTATTTTAAAATATGTATGTGTTTAATCTTTTTAATGTTATATTTATGTATTTTATTCCCAGTACTTTCTTCATTTACCAGTTAGCTAAGTAATTTATGAGGGAGTATTCATTAAATCATCAAATATGATTTCTATTTGACTAGAGATGGAATTTATTTTGTTGTTCCCTGATACCTTTGGTGGGGGGTGGGTGGGTATCTTTAAAGACTTTCTTGAATATTGTGGAAGTAGATGAATATTTCCCCAGAACAAACACACCCACTTCATGTATTATATTTCATAATACAGAAGAGTACTAAACTTGTGAAACCAAATAAACTAAACATTTACTTGTGGATATGTATGATCTTGTCATCTCAGAAATACAGAGTGATGTGTGTCTTACTTATATTTAGTTTCAGAAAGCACCGTCATTGCTTTCTCTTTCAAGGTCATTGAATCCTTTATAAATAATGTAATTTATTATGAGATACCATAGAACCTTAGAGGCATATTTAAATGAAGAAATCATGGTAGAGAATTAGTTCAAAAAAATCACCAGAACATTATCCGAGCATAAAAAAATTTTTGAAGATAAGTTTGAGCAAGTATCATCTAAATATCTATAAAACTATAATTGGATTTAAAATAATTTGACCTAATTTTTTGAGTATTGTGTATATACATATATACCTACATGTGTATATATGTGTGTGTATATATTTATATATATACCTATATATATTATGTATATTTCAATGTATATTAGAGTTGGTGTGGTGGAGAGAGGCTGCTTTGGAGTCAGGTCTGAGTTTCAGTGCTGGCCATGTTGCTTAAACTCACTTAGTCCCATCTGTAAAGTGACAAAACAATACTAGTGTGCAGTATTACCACATTAAATAATAAAAGAGTACCTTCTACATAATAACTGCACAAGAAATGCTTTTACTGCCCCTTATTTCTTAATTAAAAACAAAAATAGATGATTTTTTAAAAGTAGTTCAACCTAACTTAGTTTTTAAAATTAAGACCAATTGGGTAAGTTTTCATTGTGATGTGTTGCTTTGTTTCACTGTGAATCTGCTTTCTGTTGCCTGCGTCAATCCCTGCTGAGATCTCTCACTACACCAGTTTGTGTCTAATAGAAGTTTATGTTACAGGATAGCTTTCTCCTGGCTGCCAAGAAAATAATTTAAATATAAGCAGAATTAGCTATAAATTACATAAATGTAAGGTGTGAAATATCTTTCATACTTTCTTTGTGTGAGTGAATGCAAGATAGAACCTCATTTCTAATGTGAAATGTGAAAAGGTATCCAGGCACCTTTTTTTAAAAAACAACACATGGATATATTCATCTTACTTAAGCTTTTTCAGTCATCCCAATAAGACACTTCATCCCTCCTGTAGAATTGTTACTGGAACAAAGTTCTCTCTTGTTCCGGCACAATACATTAGGTATCCCCAATGAACGTGTGTATGTAAGACATTTGGATCCTTTGGGACAAAATACAGAAGTCATGAAAAGGAAAATGTTTCCATTATTTGACTGTTTTTCTCATTGAATAATTAGAAATGCTTGTTTTCAGACTTGATAATGGAGACCCTTTGTTAATCATTACTGTGTACTAGATTTGAAGGGGTCAAAGAAAAATTATTTATGAATGGTGTTCATGAGTCAGGAAGATTTAAAGACAAAAGTTAATCATTTCCTTGCTTATTAGTGTAGATTTTCTTACCCGCTAGGCGTTTTGGCAACCTCTGAATTTTTATACAAAAGTAGTGTAGGGGTGAGGGAAAAACTGGGTTAAGGGATGGTGGGGGACTTACTTTGAAGCTATATTTACACAGCAAGCAGTACTATTTCTACTTAGATTGTGTTCAAGATCAATAAAAGTAGCAGTGTTTTTCTAAATGTGTTTTTATTCACATACAACATTTCCTATTTATTAATTGCTTTTCTTAGGAGAAGTGGCTTCAAGAACCATAATAGAGTTTATAAGGGGCAGGTGGCAAAGGCTGCACCTCCCCTTCCCCACTAATCCCCCAGCCACCATTTAGTGGCACACTGCCATGAGATAGCAGACGTCACATAACCTAGGCTGGCGGGGGGAAAGCAGGACAGGGGAGAGGACACGCCCATGAGGTGTAGCAACACCCTCTTCCCACATCATTAAGGAGTACATGCAGCTTAGTGCCCCACTCGTTCTCTGGCCTCTGCAGAGCCTAACGCATACTGAGTAACACTAGCTGCTCTATGCTTAGCTAAGTGTTCAGCGTGACTTGTTGCATTTTAATTCTCACAGCGATTCTAGCAGGAAGGTAGGTATTATTGTCCTCATTTTAAAGAGGAGGAAACTGAGGCTCAGGAAATTTAAGTGTTTTATTCATGCTAGAAAGTGAGGAGGTGGGATTCAGACTTGCATCTGCTGGCTCCAAAGTCCACCCCCTTCACTAACCACCGCCCTTGTTCATCCCTAATGAAATACAGCTTTGCAATTGCTGAGCATCAGGCAGTGCAGAAAGCAAACCAGGATCTCCTGTTTATATGATTTTGTGAAATGAAGGTTATTTAACTTCCAAGTTTTGTTCTTAAAACATTATTTTGAAAATGTTGACACTTTTGAAAGCCAGTCTTTCATTTCCCCTGATGTTGCAGCCTGGGAGCCGCAGAATCAACCTCTGCTGGAGTGAGGACAGAGCATTTGACAGGGCAGTGAGGGTTAAGCCTCCCTTCCCCCAGTGCAGCACCTGCTTGTACAGCAGGAAAATAAACACACTGTTAACAATTGCAGGTCTGGGTAATGTGGTTTGGTCTTCATGCCTTCACTCAGGTGGAGCCCGAGAAGTTGAAGACACTAACAGAAGGTTTAGAAGCTTACAGCCGAGCCCGGAAAAGGAACAGAAAGTAAGCACTATTTTTTTTCTGTTTTGTTTTTCAAGGATATAATTTACTGGTTTTCCTTCAAAGGGACAATGAAATCTCACTGATTTTGTCCATCTTGGTTCTTGCCTAAGTACTGCTTAATAGTTATCATCCAAGAGGACCATTATAGATAAATTAGCTACACAGAAAATATTTTCTTAACAATTTATACTGTGTGTGGGGTTTCCCACTTCATCAGCTCTTTCCTTACTCCTTCCGTCTCCATCCCTCCCATTTAATGGGAAAGAAAATATGATTAATATTCTCAACATGTAGCAATTAGTCTCTGAAAGTGTAGCAAAAGTATATCCCTTTGTAATTCAAATACTTTGGGAGGGGGAATACCCCCTCGCCCCTAGTTGTACACGTGTGAATAACTTTGGCAGATTAACTGTTAGTCAAAGTGATGGTAAATCATTATTTTTTCTTGGGGCAGGGGCAATAGGCTTTCTTTGGAATTATAATAATAAGTTGAACTTTGGGACATTATTATTATTCAATTTTTTCTAGATCTTTATAGTCTGAGTAAATGTAGTATGGACAAGTAGATAATGTTTGAAACACAATTTGACTGTAATGCAATGTAGTTTTATATATCATAACTATTTCATTTTAAGGTAGAGAACTATAAATGTGCTTCTGTATATGTACATGGAAAGTTATTTTAAATATGTATATAATCAATACACCTGTTCAGTTACTATAATTTTCATATTATCCAACATCTAAGAATTATGAAAACATAATGATTAGTAGTGTATCTTGTATAAAAGACTTGTATATGGATAATAATATCTATTAAAGGGCACTCATTCTCTTAGTGGTATCTTCAGTAATTCTTGCCAGAGCTAAAATTTTAGAACTCAACAAGTCTTGGGGAGACTCTCTTCACCTCACTAGAATGTCTCAAAAAGATGCCAGCTGCAAGGAGTAAACTCCTGTGCTCCTACGTTCGGGACTCCTTTGGAAGGTAGCAAGTTGGCACTGGTTGTGGTGAGGGCCAAGTGAATGGCCAGATTCACTATAGATAAGGCACACAGTGAGGCAAGTCCCCTCCCCTCTATTCTGACTGCAGTGACACAATGCAGAGCTTAGTAGTAGAATAAAGCCTATAAAATTCATACAAGGTCTGGATGAAAGGAGGGAAATTGCAAACTACCTACGTCACAAATTTTCAGTGGGCCATTTGCTTTAGAATATTCAATAGTACTTGTTTTATTTTTATTTTTTATAAATTTATTTATTTATTTTTGGCTGTGTTGGGTCTTTGTTGCTGTGCGCGGGCTTTCTCTAGTTGCGGTGAGCGGGGGCAGGCTTCTCATTGTCGTGACTTCTCTTGTTGCGGAGCACAGGCTCTAGTCGCGCAGGCTTCAGTAGTTGTGGCTTGCGGGCTCTAGCGCTCAGGCTCAGTAGTTATGGCACACGGGCTTAGTTGTTCCGCGGCATGTGGGATCTTCCCGGGCTAGGGCTCGAACCCGTGTCCCTTGCATTGGCAGGCAGATTCTTAACCACTGCACCACCAAGAAAGCCCGATAGTACTTGTTTATTGGATGTAAAATATCCCTGAAATCTTTTCTTCGGTGAGGTATGCCAGTTAGCTGGATTATGTGCAGTATATCCAAAACTGTTGATAACACAGAAATAAAATAACTCCTCCAAATATTTAGATATACTGCCTTGAAATGAGCTGTATTTTCCCCATAAATTTGCTATTAAGCAATTTCTGAAAGGTAATGAGTAACAAACAACAGTTTAAGCATTTTTCCTCAAAGCCAGTTTACTATTTCTGGTGAATTTATATGAGTCCTAAGTGGCATTATCTAAAGGAACTCTCATGAAACCATAAACTTAAGAGTATGGATTGGAGAGGTAAAAGACAAAAATATGAAGCAAAACAGTTTTGTTTATCAGACTGTTGTCTAAGTAAACTGACTTGCCTTATAAATGCCTAGTAGAATACTCTACATTTTGCATATATGATTTAAAATCCATTTTTCTATTCTCCCAATCAGAAGATGGGCCAGAATTACTGAACCCATTTATAGATGAGGACACTCAGACCGAAATAGCTTAAATAATTAGTTGAAGGTTACATAATGATAAATGATATGTTGAACCCAATCACTTATTTATTTATTTAATCATTTATTTATTCTCCAATTTAAGGAGATTAATTTAGCAAAAAATCTGTGCCAACCAGGCACAATGCTGTAGTCCCTGGACATCACTGTTTAGTGAAGGAGGCAGATGTAGAAACAAATAATTAAGATGCTAAAGTTGCAATGACAGGAATATGTATAGTATATTTTGGGATCACAGAGAAGTGGCATTAAACTCAGGTAATGGAAGATGTCCTAGAGGAGCTAATAGCTGAGCCAAACCGTACACACTGCATAGGTATTAGCCAGACAAAGGAAACGAGGATGATGGGGTGGAGGTGGGAGATAGCATTTAGATAAGATCAGCGGTTGGATTTAGGGGACAGGAAACTGTAAAAGATGAAGCCAAAGATATAATCAGGAGCCAGACCATAAAGGGCCTAGTAAGGCCTCGTGGGTCTTTATGTTATTGGAAGTGCCTGAAGGGGACAGGTGGTTGGATTTTCACTTTAGACATAGCTATATGGAGGATAAATTTTAGGAGAACAGTGTTGGAGACAAGGGCATCCATTTAGGAGGCCTTGTCAGAGGACAGGGGAGGATGAGGACTCAAACCAGGAGGGGAGCCATGAGAATGGAGGAGAAGGAATATGATCAAGATATATTTAGGAGGTAAAACTGACAGAACATCATGGTGATTTGGTTGGAATGTGAAGGAGAGCAAGCAATCAAGGACAACTCTCAGGGTTTTAGCTTGGGTGACTTCATGGGTAGTGGAAACTGAAATGGGGAACACAGGAGAAAACTGTTGAGTGCAGTCTGAGGTACCTGTGATCCCACAGGTACAAGTCTGAAACTGGGAAGAAGTGGTATTTGATTATGTAAAACTGACTGCAGTCACATATTACCAATTTGAATAGTGGGCTAAGGATTGAACGCTGTGGCACTTGAACATTTACTAGAGATAATGAAGGAGATGGGAATAGTGATCAGAAAGGAGGAGGAGAACCAGGGGGTAGGTTTATTTTTGCCAGTTGAAACATTCTATCACCATATTAGACGTTTAGAGCATTATGTAGTCATTTTAATTCTCAGTATCCTATAATCAAATCAAACTGTACAATAAATAAATATCTTTAAAGTGATGTGCTTATTACAGCCTAATCACAAAAGAAATATTAATGTATTTATTGAAGAATCACTCAGGGTCATTTTCTACTTAAAAGAGGAAATAGCTTCATTAAAGAAAAAGATTACATAGCTTTTAGATATGATTTTAAGTGAGGATCAAATCTTCTGCCTATATGTACATATATATTTGTTCAGTAACCTTATTTTTATGAATCTGGAGAGTGATAAAGTAATAACATAAATCACACTTTTACTTTAAAACCAAGAAATGATACTTATTGTATTAAATTGTCTTTATCTTTTAAAATTGAAATATAGTTGGTTTACAGTATTACTTTCAGGTATACAACACAGTGATGCAATATTTTTATAGATTAAACTCTGTTTAAAGTTATTATAAAATACTGGCTATATTCCCTGTGCTGTATGTTATATCCTTGTATCTTATTTTATACCTGGTAGCTTATACATCTTAATCCCCTTCCCCTCTCTTGCCCTTCACCCCACCCCCTCCCTACTGGTAACCACTAGTTTGTTCTATATATCTGTGAGTCTGTTTCTGTTTTGTTACATTCATTTTTTTTGTTTTTGTTTTTTTTAGATTCCACATGTAAGTGAAAACATACAGTATTTGTATTTCTCTGACTTATTTCACTAAGCATAATACCTTCCAGGTCCATCCATGTTGTTAAAAATGGCAAAAGTTCATTCTTTTTTATGGCTGAGTAGTATTCTCATTATATATATATATATACTACTTCTTTATCCATTCATCTGTTGATGGACACACTTAGGTTGCTTCCATATCTTGGCTATTGTAAATAATCCTGCCATGAACATTAGGGTACATGTATCTTTTTAAAGTAGTGTCTTCACTTGATATATCGAGCTAGTTCTCCTCCCTCCAGATGTGGTCAGGGATACGTGCACTGGCAGTGGCTGCCTCTGCCCTGGTCAGAGGGTCTGTGCGGGCTCCCTTCCCTCTAAATGTGTGAACCCTCACTGGCAATGGCAGCCCCTGCTCTAGTGGAGAGCATTGCCCGAGCGAGAGGGGCTGGAGCAGGAACCCAGTGAAGGCTAGGGAGTGTGCTGACAAGCCAGCCAAAGCACCAGGCTGTTTCCAATATGCTGTCTCTCTGCTGTGTGTGTGTGTGTGTGTGTGTGTGTGTGTGTGTGTGTGTGTGTGTGTG